TATGCCTTTTTAAGGGACAATGTCTAATGTATGTGTTTTGTGTAATATGTTACATGTTTGAGAGTAGCAGGGAGTTGTATGGTGTACAAGGCATCATATTAATCTAGGAGGGACTAAGGCTTGATCTCCCTTATGTTTTCTCTGAACCTATATAGTAGGTGGCTTTTACAGCCGATGGTAAAGCTAAGAGTTTTTCAGTTAACCCTGCACAAGTTTGATGTCAGTTGTCTTGGAGGTCAGAATGGTTTATTCAGAGGTACACTATGGTCTGGATTTTTGCGAAATATAGGAGGGGTGTATGTAACCAATGTATAACTTCACTTATTTATATTTCAGTAAAATCATTGTCCATACTTTATTTGTAAAACTTGTCACTGTCACTTTATTTTTTAGATGCTTTTATTTTGAAAAGTACGTTTTATTTTGGTACTCATGGCACCGGCACATTTCTGCAGACTCGCGCTACTTTCCTCAGTTAGCTTCAGGCCCCACTGAGGAGAAGTAAGTGGAACGAGTGGTGTCATAAATGTTGTATTTTATATGTTAATAGATTGTTTAATGTTACACTTCACACAAGCCAAACCTATTTGCAGTTAATATCTATATTTTGCCGTGTGTGACTGTAGTTTATATAATGTGCAGCGCTTCAAACAGTGTTTGGGAGCTTTCTAAAGTTTAGCTATATGCTAACCTAACATGTGCGTGTTTTCTTCCACTGAAGGTGTGAAGTTAGAAAGCTGATGAAGCCATTTCCTGCTTTAATTATTATATTCTGTTTTGCACAGGTATGTGGGTATTCTTTTTGTATTTTGTAACTGTAAATTGTATTGTTTGTTATGTAAGTGTAAATTAATGGTTATATTTGTGTATATTGGTTTACAAGGAAAAACTGGTTTGCCACCATGGATAGATGTATATCTGTTAATTGTATTATTTAGAACTCTGTATACTTTCCTGAGTTAGCTTCAGGCCCCACTGATAGGCCATAAGGTGAACCCTGTTATCGTTTCAACCCGCTCCACAGAAGTGAAACTACACAATCTTTAGTTCATAAAAAAGAACGAGTCATGCTTATCCACCAAAAAAAATATATACCTGCCAATTCTTCTAGGCACGTAATTATTGGCTGAACTAGTCCCTTCGAAGCGTAATAATATCTTGGTCCAAAGTCGTGCCACGGTTCGTCACGTGATCGTGCTACACCAATTGGGTAGCTGCATATTGTCAACAGAAGTGAAAGATGGCGGCCGCCATGGTTACGCTAAACCAGACCAAATGGATTCTAAACAGTGCTGTATGCTTGTTTTATGTCATGTTTTGTCATATGTCTTAATACATCACTAAGTCCGAGGTATTTGCGTTATATACGCGGTATTTGTGAGAGGTTTTACTATCTGGGAACAGAGTTGACCATCGAATCAACATTGACTAGCAGCGTTTATCAGCCAACTCCAGCTACAAACAATTTCCCCACGGGGATTAATAAAGTATATCAAACTCATATTTATCAAACTATCATTCCTGGACTGCCATGTTCACATCGCTAGGTTCATTGGGATTATTCCATTAGACTGAGGACTTTTTGTCTGTCTGTTGTTACCCTGTACACGTTAAATGCACTCTTAAAATAAACATGACTTGATTTCTGCGTCCAAGAAGAAGGTTAACTTGTTACGTTAAGTAATTTAGATCAATAAAATGCAGTACTTCCAGGCTGAAGACTTTTCTTTTTGTTGCTGCTTTTAATTGAACTATTCATATCTTAGACTGCACTGTAACTTTTATCCATGTATTTTTTCTTTTAATGTTTCTTTTATTAGCTTTTCTTTTGAATGACTGATTTTAAATGCCATTTTCTTAATGTCTTTAATTTTTTGTAAAACACTTTGAATTGCCTTGTGTTGAAAAGTGCTATATAAATAAACTTGCCTTGCCTTACTTATACCAATGTCCATTGATTCATTTATTTACTCATTCATCCCTCCACAAATGAAAACAACACTGATGAACCATAAAAACGAGATTTATTACAAATATAAAAGGTATGACATAGAAAACAGTAGAAGGACATGTAATGTAGTATAATTGATTGGTGTCAGGCTGGGCGGAGCGGCTGATTGGTGCTGTGATTGCCTCAGCTGGTTAAAAGAGTCCTGCTGATTATACTCTGTTCTAGTACCAAAAACAAACGTATCTATGAGTGATGTGTGAGCGCGTCGGCCAGGCACTAAAACCAAAAGAACAGAAAAGAGCTTAAGAAAGATGGAAAGAAGGCTCTTTTATTCCTATTCCTCACTGTCAGTGTCAGGGCAGTCATCGTTCTCTTCCTCTGTTTCTTTTTTATTTGCACAATTTGAGCAACGACATAAGTCTGTGCAACAGAGTCCTGCAGAGAAGCATGAACATCTGCCTTTCTCACAGGCAGACTCTTTGCAGCTGCAGTGTATCACATGCAACACACTGTCAGGGGCAGGATTTCTTGTCATCCAGGTGACGTGTAAGTTCCCATCCTCTATTTCCCAACCATATCCAGCAGGTGATGGAGCATTCATTTCTCTTTTGAGACAGGACCTCATTATTGCTGCCTGGTAATTTACCCTTTTGCAGTGCTGATGGAGGGCATCATGAGTAGGGGGAATGCTTAATTCTGGCAAGGCCGATGATGCCATACAGAAAGCCTTGTACCTAGCATCATTTACATGTTCGGCTGCTGGCTGATCATACAGGTGACATACATACCGGCAAAGAAGTGCAAATGTTGATTGCTCCAAGTCAAAGTTAGTACCTAAACTTCTGAAAGCCTTAAGGTAGTCATCTTTCTCACATGCAACAGCAAATGACTTTCTTTTGCCTTTGCCATAGAAAGCGCTTGTGGAGTCACACCCAGAGAACGTGTGAATTCCAATCAAGGCTGAACACACACTGGTTCCGAGAGCTGATGACACCATGGCAATGTCAATGATCCGTGTCCTGTTGCCAGTCCCTGTGAACACATATAAGCTGCATGGCAAATCTGCCTGCAGACTTACAGCAATGACTGCCACATCAGTGTCCGAGCTCTTGATGATGACAGCTTTGTGCTCCTGTGCAGCATGTTGGGCATGTAAAAACACCCGTGTGTCACATTCCTCATGATCACACTGCAGGTCTTCAACAACATCAACAGACTGTACACCCTCCATGACAGTTACACAGTGGCATTGATTTTGATGGGCAATGTACAAGCTGAGGTTTTTACCCACTGTTGTGAGGTCTGCATGTGTCCATGCCACATAAAGGAATTCGGCCAGTGCTTCCTTATTTTTTCCGTCAGAGAGAAACTTCTTCCACTGGGTTGGAGTTCTCTGATCTGGGCTGAAGATTGTTATTAGTTGTGACCCTGCATCAGCTCTACGGGACCGTTCTAGGCTTTTGATGCTGATGGGTGGATACCGGTCAGTGACAAAATCAATGCGTGTACACTTGTGATGCAAAGCAAGTTGGAGTATGCTCTGCAGTATGGTCTCTGCAAGCTCTCCAAATGTTGCTGGTCTGGATGGCATGGCCTGCATGACTGCCATGCCATCAAAAAGAATGGCACCACCTATTGGAACTTTGTCAACCAAGCACTCTCCACCTTTGCTCTGCAATAGATCCATGAGAGCTGATTTGTTTGTTTTGGCAAGTGAACCATCAGCACTTGCTAATGGATATGACACAGTTCCCAAGGAATATGACAGAATTTCCCTCATTTCAATTGTCCTGCTCTGGCCAAGGATGAGGAGCCTGGAAAATAACTTCTTGTCAGCACGCAAAATCACTTCCTTGCCTGCTGCAGATTTTTTGGGGGGCTTTTTCTGATCACTGAGAGTCTTGAGTTTTTGTGATATTATGGGGGCAAATATGTCAACTGTTTTGGATAACAGTCTCTGCTCCATAAACTCCTTTACAGCATTTTCACCCTTTTCTGAGGCAACAAGCAAATCCTTTGTGATTTCTCCTGTTGCTACTCTTCCAGAGCTAAGACACACAATGCCGTCTTGGTGTACATCAAAAGGGTTGAGCATGGAATCAATAGTGTCCAAGATTCTACTCACAGCCTTTGCATCAGCAGAGATGCGTGTCTTGTCCAGGTCTTTTCTTGTCCGTAGCTCAGGAGATATCCCTGCCATTGATTCACACTGTCTTGCTATCGCGGCTCTTTCATGCTGTGACAGTATCCAGCGATACACTGCAGACCGATTTTGTGTGATCCCTGTCCAGCCACCTTTGGTCTTGGCATCTCTGTTAAGCGTTTGCTCAATAGCCTGGTCGCAAGCAATGGAGGCAAATCCATGAACACTTTGTCGCTGGACAGTCCACTGGCCTTTCACATTCATGTCACTGTGGCAAGAGGGATGTGTGACAGGCAGATTCATCATTTCCAGCCAGTATGCAGGTAAATATCGAGCGTAATTGACTCTATCGTAGGCAAAAAACCATGGCATCATTAACCGGACGGTTGACAGGTGAAGCTGCCAGTTTGATTCTCGCGTTGCTCTCACAAACAGGAGGAGTAGCTGCATCATGTCAATGTATGAGCTCCAGAAAGCAAATGTTGCATTCTCTGTACTCCTCCTCTGCACAAAGTCTGCATATTTCGAGCACATATTATCAAACCTCTGATCTGCACTCAAAACATCCATCAATCTGTCTGGAAAGGCACATTCCATCTCAGTGATGACATCCATGCACGCAGCTCTCTCTTGGGGTGGCAAGGAGTCCATGAAGGTGATAAACCGGATGCGCTGCAGACTCTCATATAGAAGTTTATGAGCCCTCATGCTGCGATTGTAGTGATGGCCATTGAGTACCCCATTGATGGATCCTGGGGCAACAACTTCAGATTCAATGAGGATATCTTGCAGTCCTGCATCTCCGAACCTTTTGCCTAGAATACTCAGGTAGGACATGCATGTATGGAATTCACCTAGTCTAATCACTAGACGCTTTGTAAACTCAACATCATATGTTGTAGCGTATTTGCTGTGCTTTGGCATATATAGCCTGGTCAAACACTAAAACTATATGATCCAGTTCTAGCTGGTCAGCAATCTGGACACTTCGCTTCAGGATAGTGTTGACTGTTGACATCTCTGTTGGTGAGGCTTCAATGACTGGAAGATAATACAATGCGGACTTCTGCAGAGTGTTTTCATCCTGAAGCAGTGTATGGAACCCTGTCCAGCTTGGGATTGTACAACTATCCGTACATGTGGACTTCACAAAAGCATATGCCATTTCAGCTTGTACAGCAAAGTGGGTGTCCATTCTGCATGTCGCTGACTGCACTGGTTGACACAAGTTCTGTGGCCCTTGCCTTTTGGACTGATGGTAAGGTTGTATAGGCATTGGGGGGGGGCTATGAATGAGGTAACTCCCTTTCTCAGTGGCTGTCTGATTGCTGTGGACATAGGCTCGCCGGGCACACTCTGGAGCATAATTCCATTTGTATGGTGAGTAGTTCCACGACCCGATAGTGTCTCCTCACCAAAGTCAATGTTATCCCACACAAGTGTTGTGGGTGTCCGCTTTGAGAATCCCTTCGGTATTTTGTCTCTGCCTTCTACTAGTGTCAGTTGGGCAAGGCTAGTGTCTAGACTCAAAACTGTGTCCCATGATGCACAATGTCCCAGTCTGTTAAGCAGTGATACAATGCGTGATGATCCAGTTAAATGTCGAACAGTTAAACCTAAAGCCAAGGACTTGGGTGTCTGCTTGCGGCCCTTGGAAGCAAGGTACACAATGTCTTGACAAACAGACAACACTTTCAAATGTACGTCATCATCAATGTTGACATAATGATCCAGTGTTGGCTCCTCAGTGGAACCTATAATCCAGCTGAGCAGATTGTATAGTCCAATGGGGACAACAGTTTGAGATTCAGTGACATTTACATTTTCAGAAGTGGGAGGCCATGGGCATGACATGCCAGGAGTGTCACTAAGCAGTCTTTTCAAAAACAACGCTGCTGTATACAGTGTCCTTGTGTCCTCATGTGTTGTTTGGCACTTTGTTCTCCCTGTTTCATTGTCGCTGTCTGTCTGGCTCAATTCACTGGACTGTGTTGTTTCCGTACCGGATGGATCTGGTAGCATGTCCACGAGTGCATCCTTTGACAGAGTCTCAGCAAAAACCAGTTCGCAGACGTTGCGCTTGGTGGGCATGTGAAACGCTAGCTGAGGGAAATCTTGAGCCAGCCTCTTCTTCAACAGATCCTGTCTGTAACACAACAAAACAGTGACAATTACGAGTCACAGGAGTACCATCAAAAGCAGAGTGGTGGAGGTGATACAAGACATTACAGACTAGAACCTATCTGCCATACAGCACATTTAACACCAAAGAAGCCAAATAAAGGCCCACATCATCACAAACAACACTACACACTACACATCATGGGGGTTTCTCCAAACAGGCCTGTCATACACATTTTGTTTAAAGCTGGCCTTGCACATGATAAATAATAAGACTTGTATTACATTGCAGTTACCTGTAGTTTGAAGCATCAACACCTTCGTTTGCTTTCACCATGTCAATGAAGGCCTGCCTCAGCTGGCCCATTCTAAGCACCTCATTGTTGACAAGCAGCCTCTGGCGGATGATCCTCTCACAGAACAGCTTGTAACTGGCATCAAACATTGCCTCATCCCTACAACACATGAATGAGAAGTAAATAAATGGATAAATGAATAAGTGTTGTGATTGTGTGCACATATAACAGAAGGAAATTGGATGTTTACTTATAATGTTAAGTATGTGTATGTGTATATATATATATAGCCATCGCCGACACACACCTGGACTTCAGTCTGGTGGTAGTGCAAATAGGTAAAGCAATCCAAGGAGAAATAACTTACTGTTCTGTCTCTGGTTTGTCAGGTCTCAGCAAAAACATGGTGTACTGACTGTAACAGCTTTTGTGGTACCGCACCTCCAGAGCCACACAGTCTTTGTCTTTTATATGTAAAAGAACACTTTGGTCATCTTTCTTCTCAGCAGCTTTCTGCAATTTGCCTAAACGGAAAAAAAGGACAACTCAATGAGTTTGTTGACGTATCTCTCACACATAATTGTACCTTTCAGTTATTCAACCACAGAGAATGTGTGTGTGTGTGTGTGTGGTGTGTGTGTAGTGGTGTGGTGTGGGGGGAGGGGGTTTGCTTACCTGCTTTTAATGTTTCAGCCTTACACAGTTGATCCCTTTGTCGCTTGCCTGCTTTGATGATCATTTTCTCCTTCATCTTGCATATAATGCACAGGGCAGGAAGGACGGGGCCAGAGCCTGCGATTGGCAGGCCTGACCTTGATCGTAGCTTCTCTGTTTGGCTTCGGTACGTGCTGCGAGACGTCGATGGGATGGGCTCGACCTCAAGGTCCTCCCTAACGTCTTGATCTCCCTCACGTGCGAGCCGTCTTTCCACCTTCGTCATGGCCTTTGTGTCGGTAAACCTTATGTAGCATGTGTGGTGGAAGCCAGCGTCCTCAGGAATATCTTCGAACTCGAAATCAAGACAGTGCTTGTGGTTTTCAGCCACCACGTTCCGAGAGTCTCCCTTCAAGCCGAGCGACCGTTGTAAGCTTGTCCTGTACGTATTCCATCTTGTATTGGTAAAACAATCAACCTTTTCGTGCTTCACAGACGTAATATGCATGTAACAATGTTTGTGTGTTGACAATTTTGACTTTTTGAGACTTTCTGGTGCGTTTTCCTCGTCTCCGCTACTCGATGAAACCATGGCGGCCGCCATCTTTCACTTCTGTTGACAATATGCAGCTACCCAATTGGTGTAGCACGATCACGTGATGAACCGTGGCACGACTTTGGACCAAGATATTATTACGCTTCGAAGGGAATAGTTCAGCCAATAATTACGTGCCTAGAAGAATTGGCAGGAATTTTAGCGACGAAATTTTTTTTGGTGGATAAGCATGAATCGTTCTTTTTTATGAACTAAAGATTGTGTAGTTTCACTTCTGTGGAGCGGGATTTCTTTTCTAAAGGACTTTTCGAGGTTCACCTTGTGGCCTATGAGGAGAAGTGTGAAGTTAGAAAGCTGATGAAGCCATTTCCTGCTTTAATTATTATATTCTGTTTTGCACAGAGAATAAATCCTGGTTGGCAAGAAAGAAGTCGTTCTCATTTACACAACATAACACAACGCAGAGATCACATGTGGCGTCAAACCAGACCGGTTACACAGGCACACACACACCTACACACTGTACCACACACACATAGGGTTGGGAATCGTTTGAATTTCCACGATTCTGATTCCGATTCCGATTCTACTTTTCGATTCCAGTTCTTAACGGTTCTCAATTCCGATTCTTTGAGGGGCCGGGTAAAAAAATGATACATGCTTCTTCCACCAAAACAATTACATGTATTCGAGAAACTTTTACACAGGTTAGTTTACAGTAATATTCACATTCATCAGTCTGTTTATATTCACTGCTATGTAACTGTAACCTGAGAACCACTGAAGCTGCAACAGTGCAACAGTCCAACTTTTAAAGGAAACCCCCCCCCCCCCCATTTAAAAACAGTTCTTGTTGAGAAAAACAAGCATATCTGCCTTCTCAGGCATACCTGGAAGAAATGTTTGAACATTTTAAAGTAAAATGCTTCAATCTGGTGCACTTTAAGCAGAATTACTAGAGACTAGATCTAGGGGGTACAACTCTAAACACCCATATGAAAAAGATCGGTTTACATTTTAATAATTAAATAAGTATGTGAACATAACCAGTAACCTATCATAGCCAATAACAAATACATGTAACGTATTTTATTTTTGTTGTTCGTTCATATCTTATTTTACTATTTTATTTATGCATATGTTTTTATCTCTCCAGTTTAAAACTATATGTCTGGTTTACTGTCCTATAGTATACATTGGAATGATTTCAAACCTGTTTTATCCCAATAATTATAAAGGAGTGCCTTGGAAATATGTGTTTACATAAATTGTGATCAAACCGTTTGAGACCCACTGAGATAACTTAGACTAAAGTGAACTATCTAAACACTCAGAGTTCTTTACCTCTTTCTTTAGTTATCAGCCTCTCAGTCTGACTGGAGAGGACTCTCCCTCCACATCATTGTAGAAACATATTCTTCTAATATCCGTTAGAGCAGCTAGCACCAGATGCTAATAACAACAGCGCCGGTTCCAGTGCACCCTCCCGTTTCTCCCTCGCTCACTCGCACTTTGGCTGTGAGCTGCGGGCGCCAGATAAGCCAACATTCCCCATTTTCATCACTTACAGCGCCCATCGTACAGGGCAAATGAAAAGTGTAACCGGGATGAAAAGGGTGTTACATTTACTTAATTATGAATGTTGTTACATCAAGGCCGAAAATTAGGATGAGCACCAACGGTCAAAACATTTTTTCCCCTCCCAGAGCTGTCAGCGCAGCGCCTCCACAGATCTGGCGCCCTGGTCTCAGGTTACGCTGTAGGAAGTGTAGGTACAACGCTACATTTCCCGCCCCGCCGCAGTCATACAGTAGGCTACGGAGAGCGGCGAGAAACATTTCCTCAGGCATCGAAAAGGGGAACCGAAATTCACATTTCTAAATGATGCCGTTGGAATCGAAATGTTGGAACACACACACACACACACACACACACACACACACACACACACACACACACACACACACACACACACACACACACACACACACACACACACACACACACACACACACACACACACACACACGTTCTCACTCCCATCCCGTCACATATTGACGGACGGTCAGGGCCCCTCCCCTTCGCTCTATGACGTACAGGGTACCCCTTGCCCGTCAGGCTTCTACGGGCAGGGCGTCCCATAGACCTTCATTGCGGACAGCGGACCCCTTGACCGTCAGGCTTCTACGGGCAGGGCGTGCCATAGACCTTCATAGACCACGTGATCAACAACAATGGCCGACCTTCGTGTTATTCTCGGTGGAAAAGGCCTATTTTAAGGTTCATTTGGCCAATAAAATGCGTTTTGATGTCATTTTATGCGATTAATATGAGTTGTTATTTCTGATTATTTGTGCAGTACATGTACATGATGTTTAGTTTGCTAGTTATGACGAAGATTACTTCATGAATGTGTACACATTCATGGTTGCTAAGGTGGTTGCTATGGACGCTGCAACAGCTCCCAGACCACGTGATCAACAACAATGGCCGACCTTCGTGTTATTCTCGGTGGAAAAGGCCTATTTTAAGGTTCATTTGGCCATTAAAATGCGTTTTGATGTCATTTTATGCGAGTAATGAGTTTTTATTTCTGATTATTTGTGCAGTACATGGACATGATGTTTAGTTTGCTAGTTATGATGAAGATTACTTCATGAATGTGTTCACATTCATGGTTGCTGACGTTTTTTTGGTGGAAATGTGTTTTTTCACAGCAAAGTCACCCTCTGTACTTGGACTTATTGGGAGAATCTAAAGGCCAGAACATCCCAAATATTCATTTAGGTCTTTATTTTAGACCTTTAGTGTTGCCGTCTGTGAGGAAAATAAATAGCCTCGTATTTTTAAAATCTTTTTTTCCTTCTAATTTGTTATTCTTTTCAAAATAGCACACTGTTATTTACTCACCAATAACACACAATTATCCTTGCTTTTATATATTGGTTTAATTCCATAATCTCGGGCTTTTTTGGCGTTCGTCAGGAACTGAATTTCAAAATAAAAATAACCGGAAACAGACGTAGGCATTTCGAGCGATTACCCAAGATCCTCAGCCACGCTGATTTGATGTTTTAGCCGCAATGCATGCTGGGATTTGGTGTTTATATTATATGAAATCCGGGAAACATTTTTAAATAATAAAATAATACTTAATTCCGAGTGCTCTTGCTTTTCTCTTTGAAAATCATCACATAACGGCATTGTAATACACGGTTTGGCTGCGTTGTATATTATAGATCTGCCGTAGTTCTTTATTTATAGAGCCCTGATGAGAAGACCTTTGGAAAAACTGAAGAAATGCCGCCGAAACTGAATACTTGACGTGGATCATAAATATTTCAACAATTAAACAACATCTTCAATTTCTCTTCACACAATAAGTCTCCTTGCAGTATCAACACTAATTCGGCTGACTTTTACATTTTATATAATTCATAGATAGGTTATATTTACACCATAACGGTGCACAGCTGATATAAAAGGACTTGTAGTTTTTAAAGATATTACTGATTTGTAATCTCTGCTTGTCTAGCTGACATCTCTCAGTGGATGTCTGCTCATCACCTCAAGCTCAACCTTGACAAGACTGAGCTGCTCTTCCTTCCGGGAAAAGATTGTCCCACTCTTGACCTAACAATCAACATCGGCACCTCTGTTGTTTCCCCGACTCAGACTGCAAGGAATCTGGGTGTGACCCTAGATAACAACCTGTCCTTCACTGCAAACATCGCTGCTACAACCCGTTGCTGCAGATACACGCTTTACAACATCAGGAAGATACGTCCCCAGCTGACACAGAAAGCGACTCAGGTTCTGGTCCAGGCTCTCGTCATCTCACGCCTAGACTACTGCAACTCCCTCCTGGCTGGTCTACCTGCATGTGCCATCCGACCTCTGCAGCTCATCCAGAATGCAGCGGCTCGTCTGGTCTTAAACCTTCCTAAATTCTCCCACACCACTCCGCTCCTCCGCTCCCTTCACTGGCTTCCGGTAACTGCTAGAATCCACTTCAAGACACTGGTACTTGCTTACCATGCTGCGAATGGATCTGGCCCTTCGTACATCCAGGACATGGTTAAACCGTACACCCCAGCGCGTGCACTACGCTCTGCATCAGCCAAACGACTCGCTGCACCCTCGCTGCGAGGGGGACCCAAGTTCCCATCGGCGAAAACACGTGGGTTTGCTGTCCTGGCTCCAGGATGGTGGAATGAGCTCCCCATTGACATCAGGACGGCAGATAGCTTGCACATCTTCCGGCGCAA